AAAAAAAAAAAAAAAAAAAAAGAAAAAAAAAATCAACTGACCATAAATGTGTGAGTTTACACCTGGATCCTCAATCCTACTGCTTATCTATATGTCAATCCTTATGCCAGGACCGCACTTTCTTGATAATTACAGTCTTGTAGCAAGCTCTAAAAACCGGATGTGTGGGGAATTCCCTGGCAGCCCAGTGGTTACGACTCCACACTTCTACTGCAGGGAGCACAGGTTTGATCCCTGGTTGGGGAACTAAGATCCTGCATGCCTCACGGCATGGCCAAAAATAATTAACTAATTAATTAAAATAAAATCAGGATGTGTGGGGCTTCCCTGGTGGCGCAGTGGTTGAGAGTCCGCCTGCCGATGCGGGGGAGGCGGGTTCGTGCCCCGGTCCGGGGAGATCCCACATGCCGCGGAGCAACTAAGCCCGTGCGCCACAACTACTGAGCCTGCGCTCTAGAGCCCGCGAGCCACAACTACTGAGCCCAAGTGCCGTAACTACTTCAGTCCGCACGCCTAGAGCCCACGCTCTGCAATGAGAAGCCACCACAATGAGAAGCACGCACACAGCAACGAAGAGTAGCCTCCGCTCACCGCAACTAAAGAAAGGCCTCAGGCAGTGACGAAGACCCAACGCAGCCAAAGATAAAAAGAAAGAAAGAAAAAAATTTATTAAAAAAAAAAAAAGTCTATTGCTTAATTCCCAATATTATGGATTTCCCAAATCTTCTTGTTGATTCTATGCAGTTCCTTTGTGACTTGAGAACACGCTGTGTATGGTTTCAACCCTGTAAACTTCCTCCAGCCTGGCTTATGGCCTGAAGCGGGTGGCCTCCCCGGCGCTGGGCACCGCCGGGTGGGGCGCTCTGCGGGCACCAGGTGCGTCCAGCTGCGACTGCTGCTCTCTCTCGTCTCCGGTCATTGCTGGTCTGAGCAGGTGATCCACCCGTTACTGAAAGTGGGGGACTGAAGGCTCCAATGATCACAGTTGAAAGTCCGTCTCTCCCTTCAATTGTCGGGTTTTCCTTCACGTATCCGGAGCCCTGACATGAGGCGTGTATGCTGGGAGATACGGTTTTCACGTAGTCAAACTGGTCAATCTTCCACGACTTCTGGATGTGACCCACGTGTCACGCCGCCACCGGTTTCAATACAGCATTTTCAACTGTGCTCAGCAGTCCCCCAAACTAGACATTCTCTGTTTTCCCTGACCAGAGAATAAACACGTAAACCTCCAGTCTTCTGTCGACCAGGGGAGGACTGACTGCCTGGCTGCCTAGAGCAGAGAAGACAATCCACCTACGGCTCCAAATGCTCCTCACGAGCGTCCTCAGTCGGCTCATTCTGAGCTCCCCGCCCCTTCACCCCGCACGCAGAGGCGCCGCCAGCTCACCTGCTCCGTCGCTCACCACCCGGCCCCGCCTCCTGCTTCTCCTCCCTAGACTCTCCCCTCCTTATGCGGCCTCTCCTCTTATAAAAGCCCCTTTCTGACTCTTGGTGGGATTTCAGGAGGTAAGAGTTGCACATATTCTACCAGCCATATTTACCTGAATGTCTCTTTTTTAGTTTTTAAAAATATTTTTAAAAAATCGCACTGTACATCTTATACAAAGAAAACATTCCCAAGTCTGTGCATGATGAAGACTTCAATTATAACAAATGTTCTCTTTAAATAACAAAGCAACTGCTTCTCGAGGTGATTTCTGGTTTTACATATGAATAAATCATACTAGATTAAAAAAAATAAATCATGTAATATTAATTAAATTTCATGTTACATAAAATTTTTAATTTCAATGTTCAATTTACTTTAATGGTAAATAATCACTGGTATACCTTTCCAGCAGCTCTTGGAGGCTTACAATGTTTTGAACATGAAGGCGCCATACAGATTCAAGCAGCAAAGAATTCTGCAGAAAATGACAAACACTGAGTCAGTCTTTCATGCACACATTTTCCTACAAGACGTTCAGCCTGTGTGCTTAAGCACGTGCTCTCCTGAAAACCAAGCCTCCCAACACTCACATCACCACCTCCACCACCACCGCCCCCCCACCCCCGCCGCCACTGCCACCAGGTTCAGGCTCAGGCTTGCTCTCTGCCCAGCCTCTAGCTTAGTCCACTTCCAGGCCTTTCTCCACTGCGGCCAACACAAGATTCAAAAATGTGACTAGCCAGGCCAATCTCTCCTCTTCTTTAGAACCCGTTCCGTGGCTCCTCCCAGCTTTCAGGACAAAGTTCAGACTCTCGTCTGTCCTCCCAGGGAGGCCCTCCAGGCTATAGCACTGATGCGCCCACCCCCTCGAACAAGGAGCCCCAGTCGGACTCGGCCCCAACGCCCACAGTGCCCTCCTCTTCACCCAGGAACTCATGCCTCACACCCCACGCAACTTCCTTCCAGGAAGCCCTTCCTAACCACCCAATCAGCCGTGGCCGCCCACTCTTCTCTGCTACCTGCAAACACCAGGGCCATCCCAATCCACGTGCATTTAGCTAGTTACCAATGGGCGCAGGGGCCATACCAACGCCTGACAGTCAACTGAGGTCTACACTGTACGCTGGATAAAAGGGGGAAAACCATGAATGCACCATCATCTCGGTTTTTTTCTTTCCTTCTTCTATATACTTAACTGACCTCATTTAGTAACTAAGCGATAACTTTGAACTGTTCAAAAATCAGTAAATCAACTACACTCCAACATAAAATTAAAATTAAAGAAAAAATCTAGGCCTACTAAATTCATAATGTTTCAAAACAGAACAGATAAGGGAATTCCCTGGCAGTTCAGCAGTTAAGACTCCACTTGCTCCCAATGCAGGGGGCCCGGGTTCAATCCCTGATAGGGGAAATAAGATCCCAAAAGCCACACAGCACGGCCAAAAAAAAAAAGAAGGATTTTAAATCACTTTAAATCACACTTTTCTAGTTTACTATGCTACCCTGGGAAATTGTTCATCATAATATACCTAAGAAAGCAAAGCATGATGTTTCTGTGCATAGTCTATTCTAATAAATATTACTAATGATGGGTGAATATTGACAAATACGGTGATTGATGGTCCTTCTTTCCCATCCACAGAGGCACCCTAGTCTCTGTAATTAATACGATGCTTGCTGGAATTCCTAACAAAACCTGGGGATTTTACTGGCTCCACCAAAATCAACAGAACACTGCTTGAAAACCCTAGAGTCAGAGTTACAATCTCAACTTTACCTGTACTTTCCATAGTTCTTGACAAAAGGAAAGACGGGAGAACATGCTTTGTGCTAATAAATTCTGAGCGATCTCAAACAAGGAAGACAGTTTCTTCTGAAAAGAGAGATTAAATCTTTTCTAAGAAACAGTATTAAATGTCCAACTTTCCCAAACAGCTGAACAGCAACTCATGCTGTGTCTTACCCTCTGGTCCGGTGTCAGCAGCACCTTGGGAGGGGGCCCCGCATCTGCCTCACAGACCCGCACGAGGCCAGAGGCCACCACCTGACTGCACAGGACGGCCGCTGGAACACCCAGCTGCGCGGCTTGGTCGCGCAAAGCAGAGCCTTAAAGATGAGACAAAACACACACACACACACACACCACGAAATGTGCAACTGAAGTAGATTGGTTAAATGCCTTCTCTGAAGCTCTAGCGCCACAGAAAATTGCCTTTTGAAGGGGAGAAGAGATCGGGGGGACGTGGGTATGAAAGTAAGGCAGCTTCAGTCTGCCAGCTCGCGGGAAGCCGGGCAGCGCCTGCAGCCCAGGGCTCTGCATAGACACCTGCGCGTTCTGTATGACAAAAACAAGGGGGCCTGCCAGATACATTCTGACCAAGAACTTTAGCAACTCTTTCCAAAGGAGCACAATAAACTGAGAACTTTTAACAAATTTCAATTTTTTATAGTCACCGCTCCCACAACCGTACGATGACGTTTGACTGGACACGGGGTCTGGCTTCCTGATGCCAGCCACACACATGGCGGGCATCGCATGCCACAGATGTGCCGGCCCCTGGGCTGCCAGGTGGAAGCTGGGCCCACAGGCAGCCACCTGCCTCCTGAGGACCAGCCCCTGGTCTGCACTCAATAAAAGGAGAAATGCTGGGCAGCCTGGAAATAGATGATGCCAACAAGAAAACTGTTTTCTAGCTTATTTGACTTCCAAAACTAATTTTAAAAAACCAGGAAACTGTATCACATGCCCATTACCTTCAAGGCTTTGAAACACAGACCACTACAGAAGTGAAAACACGTGCAACAGTTGTAAAGGTTCCAAGTGACAGTACTAGATACTATCCACCACTGTGGTCAAGAAATAACTCACAGCAGAAATGTAGAAAATGCTCATTTCTAGCCATTTATTTCCGATTTGTGCCCATGGGAAAGTTTATCCCTGTTTTTATATTTTTATACAAATACCAATACGTATGGTAGCCACCACCTTCAGCAGG